CCTGCCCCGCTTTGTGTGGGGGGGGGGAGAGAATGGGGGAGGAAAAACCCCCCAACATTTAAAAAGCTGCCAAGATTGAGAAACCCTGTTGCAGCATAGGTTGCTAACCAGCATAAGGTGAAGGGATCACAGGATATCCACACTGAAAAATCTGTTCTGGTTGCCAATTGCTTACTGGGCATTTAATGTTTTAGAGCCTGGCTATTTAATTTTGTTTATTTATTTATATATTTAATTTCTATAGCCACCCGTCTCAACCAAGTGACTCTGAACAATGCTAAAACAATAAAAACAGTTAAAAATAATACAAAAAATAAAATATACAGCAGCCAACAAAATTATCATGATAATTATCAATAGAACCAAGAGACAGGGCCCTTAACACACTTGAGGCCCCAGGCCCGAGCACATAGCCAGGTCTTTAAAGCCTTACGAAAGGCCAGCAGGGTTGGGGCAATCCTAATCTCTGAAGGGAGGATGTTCCAAAGGCCAGGGACTACAGCAGAGAAGGCACGTCTTCTGGTCCCTGCCAGCTGACAATCCTTGGCTGATGGGACCCATAGCATGCCCACCCTGCTGGACTGGATTGGATGGGTAGGAGCTATTGGGAAAAGACAGTCCCTCAAGTAACCTGGTCCCAAGTCAAGCAGGGCTTTAACGGTGACAACCAGCACCTTGAATTGTACCCAGAAACACACTGGCAACCAATGCCGCTCACACAGTAGTGGTGTTACATATCTGACACCACTTGCTACCCACGTAGCCGCATTCTGTACCAGTTGAAGCTTCCAAACACTCTTCAAGGGCAGCCCCAGGGCCAACTTCTCCCATTAAGAACCTGTCCAGCTGTTAACATCTGTAGGAGAAGCCTAGAGCTTGTCTATTTGGTATGCAAGAGAATGAGAAAAAAGAGAAACAGCAAAGGGGGACCTGAAGACAGGATTAAATCCTAGGAGCATTTATCTCTGGAATACAGGAACATCACTGTAGATTGAAGAAACAGCCCTGCGGGAACTTGGCAAATGGAAAAGATATTTTCTTCAAGTTTGGGGAGTATATTAATTAATCTTACTGGTAATATTGGGGGCTTTGATGTTAAAGATGTCTGGAGGAAGAGGTAGAAATCCAATGCCTTGCCATCCCAGTGCCAACGTGGATCTTTTCAACGTTATCTCCCTCTGCTGGAAAGACAGGGCAGCATCCATGATCAAGCTGTTCTTTCGACAGCTTTGAAATAAGATGCATGAAGCCTGGAGATCATCTCAACAATTCCTAGAATCCCAATAAGCCAATGTCTCAAAAAACTCATTGTGCCTATAAGGAACAAACAAAAGCTTTGAATGTAAAGACATCAGAGAGTAACTGTTTTAAGATATATCCCCAGATATCTTGCATAAATGAAAAGAATCTAAAATATATGTTGATGAACTAAGAAAAGCAGATTTCATCTTTTAAATGGGATTTTCCATTTAAGCGGATGGTCTTTCGTGGAAGGTAAGGTCTCACAGCAGCTGAAATATGTCCTTTGGTGCCACAAAATCCTTCAAGCTTTAGAAATTTGATCAAAGCGCTTCGGCAATCAGAATACAGCATTTTGCCTCTGTGAAGCAGAAAGGAACCCTTGCTTTATTTAGATGCGACTGATGCTATCCTGTGTGAAACTAGCCATTTACCCAAAATATGAGTGGTCAGCTAATCTGGGGTCCTGCCATCTTTTTGCTGTTATTTATTTTCCTAAAATCATAGAATTGAAAAGGACCACCGAGGCCATCAGGATCAACCTTCTGAAATGTTATCTTTGCAAATCTTAATTCTACAGAACTTCCATTATATTGTATACAGTTACTGTGAGGTTGGAAATAATCTTCTGAAGCATGAATCAGACAGGGAAGGCAGGTTCATTCTTGCAAATGTAAAATCACCCTGGACGAATTTTAGCCAGACAAGCTGAGTGATGTACTGTTTAATTTACTGTACCTAAAGAAAGAACTCTTCTCTGGAGCAGGTTTTTTTGTAGTTCCCTTCTCCTTCCTTCCCTCCCTCCCTTCCTTCCCTCCCTCCCTCCCTCTCTCTCACCCACCCATCTCCTATCTTCCTTCCTTCCTCCCTGCCTCCCCCCTCCCCGATGCTATGAAGTTAGAAGTCATAGAATCATAGAACTGTGAAGTTAGAAGGAATCCCAAGGATCAGTTAGTCCAACCATTTGCAGGAAAATCAATCCATAAAAACCTTCAGATAGATAGATGATAGAAGATAGATAGATAGATAGATAGATAGATAGATAGATAGATAGATAGATAGATAGATCG